TGGAAATCTCTGGGTTTAGCTTGTGAAGCCTGTTTGCACACCTCACCGTGCCACCATCGTGTGGCACCCCGCGGCACCCTTGGAAAGATCTCAAGGCACCTGCTGTGGCACCCTGGTTGAGAATCCCTGGCCTGAGCTCAGGGTGGGTCTGAGTGGGTGTCATTGCAGGGCTGAGTCTTCATTTGCCTGGTAACAGCATCAATATTTTTTGGACACGATGGAGGCGGAGGGCAGATCCGCACCTCCTGTGGATCACCGCTGCTGCCTGGACTTCCATGGAGCGTATTGGTTTACACCAGTGGAGACCTGGCCTGGCGTTGGCCTATTTACTGCTTCTTTTAACCTGCAGCCCATTTTGTTCCTCTGATCATTTCCGGTTTGCTGCAGCAAGCCTCCCTTGTCAGTCAGCTGTCTCTATGGGGAAGGCTTTCTTCCTCTCTGCTCATACGCTCTTAACAATGAAACCAGCCACGGGACTGACCGGTCGGCCGCTTAACAACGCATCACAGCATTGTGACTCTCTCCTGGGTGCTGATAAGGGCACTGTGGTGTGACCCCTCGTGACACGAGGTTGCGTAGGCTCTGATACTGCAAAATCAGCAAAGCACACACTTAAGTGAACCTCTGCGCCACGGCCTTAATGAGGGACATCTCTCCAGCTGGTGTTGCTGCGAATGGCAGAAGCTGCTCTCCCTCCCCGTATTCTTAGCTCAGGCATGTTTCGTTTTCCCAAAAAGAGAAGAGCTGGCGGGTATTTGTGCTTCTGGTACAAGATGTGTCTAACAGGGAAGACGCTGCCTGGGAGTGGAACAGATGGGCTGTGAAACAAGGGGAAGGTGGTGCCAGCCTCCTTCTTGCTACTGCACTTTGGGGGTATGCTGGCATGGCAGGGACACATCCTTCCTGCCTGGGAAGTGTCATTCGGACCTAACCCTGCCCCTTGGGTGAGCAAGGAGCAGGCACAGGGCTCATTGTGGGTCTGCCTGATGTTTTGACAAAGAAGGTATTCTGAGTTATCGAACCTGGATTCTGCAAGCCTTTTGTCACTCGAGTAAGCCTTACTGTCTCCAAGAGGCAAACTGGCCTGGCGGTTGAGGTCGTGTCCTTCAGAGAGCCGGACACTTCCCCTGAGGCCTCCACAAGACATGAGCAATGGGACTCGATCCTGAAAACCGCTGAATAATTCTCATTGTCTTCACGGGTTTCACTGACTTGCAAGAGCCCTTCACGTCTGCAG